TGTAGATGAATGCTCATGCTTTTGATCACTGGATTGTCTGGTCCGGAGTCGATTATTTACAGACCGCCGTCATATAGCTGAATTATAACTGAGTGAGGCGTTGATCAACAACCAACCACCCAACCAACCAACATTTTAATAATAAACCCTCTTACTGGAAAATCTTGTGATATGTCGTAAGAACTTCAGATACAGCAACTTGCATTCCCGGTCTCATACGGAATCCTATTGATGATGACGCTGTTCTCAGATAATATAAAGAGGAATTTTTAAATGATTACTTTGTCTCGATGTCGTGCGTAAGTTACGAATATTTGATAGACGAACAAATGTCTCTTTAGAATTTATAACAGAGACTAAACAGGAAATGTCTAATATAATTATTATTATTATTTTTTTTTTTTATTGGTTCCCAGGATTACAATGTCATGATATGTAGAACAGTGATGTACAGACAGATGGATGATGTACAGGTATTATGTCAATATCATGTTAATACACATATATAAGTCAATAAAAGAGAAATATTACCTCAGGTAAATTGGATACATTTTAAATTCATCAAAGTACTGGGAAGAGAAGACCCCATTTATGATTGAAATCTTCTATTTTATTATTTCTTTTGCATATATGGTTTTCCACGAAGAATATTTCTTTCAAAGTTTTTATAAATAGAGCTATGTTTGGATGCGTATTTTTAATACTGCATACGTAAATGTGTCTTTTTGCTGCAATGATGATGTGATTTAGTAATATATTATGATGTAGAGTACCAAACCAAACCATATCTTTTTGATAATAGCAGTGGATGAGGGTATAAATTGTTAAGCCAAATTTGTAGGTTTTTCCAAAAGGTTTGTGTCTCCTGACATTCCCAGTACACATGACAAACACTCTCAATTAGATCATTGAAGAAACAACATAGACAGCTATAAACCTTTTTCATCTTAAGTAATTCTCTTTTTGTATAAATAACTCCTTGTAGCAAACTTTATTGAAAATCTAAAAGTTTTGTGTCTTGCAATCCTTTTCTGTATGCTGTAAATATATTTTTTCCAATTAAAGTCTATTTCAGGAAATAGCAGCTGCCATTTATTACACATATTTGGGTGTATATCATTGGAAATAAGTTTATCATAAAAAGTCCTGCAGCCTTTAGATGTTTTTACTAGATATATCTGACAGTGGTTAATATTTAAATCCCTGACTGGTATTAAATGGCAGTGGTTAAGAGTATTTTTCCAAGAGTCAGGTAATACATGTAGTAAATATTCATAATCTAAAAAAGTGCCTTTGATACCATATATTTCTTTTAAAGATTCTATTGACAATAGTCCAGTTTCATCACAAATATCCCTAATATTTATAATCCCTCTATCTGCCCAGTTCTTTATGAAGTTTAATGAATTTTTAAAATTATGATTAAACCATAATGGTTGGGATAGAATTTCATTAATGTTATTAGGGTCAATATAATGTTTTTTGTGGAATAGTTGCCATGCTTTTAGCACATCACGCCAAAAAGGATTTTCAATCTTAAAGTAAGTTTCAGAATTTGCTCCAAAATTAAATATGTCTTTAAAAGGTATATTGCATGGGTTATTCTTATCACCTCTTAAGTAGGTCTTAAAGTAGATAATTTCAAAGCGTCTATAAATGTTTTTGCATCAATCATTCTCAAACCTCCTTCTTCATAGTTGTTTTTAATTACATTCCTTTTTATTTTATCATTCTTGTCATTCCAAATAAATTTTAAAAACATTTTGTCAAGGGACGTGATAAATTCTGCTGGTGGGTTTGGCAAGGAATTGAAAATATGGACCAATTTGGAGATTGCTAGAGTTTTTATTACTGTTATTTTACCAATAAGTGTTAAATTTCTTTTTCTCCAAGATGCTAAGAGTCTATTAATTCCCTCCAGTCTCTTTCTTGTGTTGATTACCCATAAGTCTTTAAGATCTGGTGTAAATTTAATACCTAGCCCATCAAATTCACCAATTACCCATTCAATTTTCAGATCATTACATATTTTATCCATAGATTTAGCTTTGGATCCAATCCAGATTGCTTATGATTTGTCTAAATTAATTTTCAAGCCTAACATTTTGTAAAACTTATTAATTGTGTCAATAGCAGAGTACAAACTCTCTTCAGTTCCATCAAGAAATAGCTCAGTATCATCGGCATATTGATCCAGTATATATTCATTATCATTGATGACAATACCTTTGATGTTTTCATTTTTTCTTATCATGCAACCGAGAATCTCAGCCACAAAAAAGAAAAGATATTGGGATAGTGGGTCTCCCTGTCTACATCCCCTTTCATTTGCAAAGAACTCGGATAAATTACCGTGTTGGATAACACAAGATGTTGTTTCATAGGTTAATATATTTATCCATCTTATCATTTCAGGGCCAAATTCAAGTTTATGTAACACCAGGTTGATAAAATCTTTTGAAACAGTGTCAAACGCTTTTTCAAAGTCAATCAGAATCAGCAAACCAGGGATGTTTTGTTTCTTTGTTTCAAACATTATATCATATACCAATCTTGTATTTTCACTAATAGTCCAACCCGGTATAAAACCAGTTTGGTTAGGGTGAATAAGTTCATCTAAAGTAGTTTTTAATCTATGTGCAATGCAGGAGCTGATAATTTTATAAATAGCATTAAGCAAAGTGATTGGCCTCCAATTTTTAAGTAATGTTCTATCTTTTGGGGGTTTTGGAATACAGGTGATAACACCCCTTTTCATATTCAAAGTATCCTTTTTTGTTGATACTTCTTTAATAAATCTATAGATCAGTCTTCTTCCTTATATTGTTCCTGAGAAGCATAGAGAATTTTATAAAATAGCTTTACTTCATTCAGTATTGATTTGCTGTCAGTGATTTCGTTCTTATCATTAGTTATTATCTTATTAATTGATTTGTTTGAGAAATTCCTATTTTCTAGATGGCAGAAATATTTTGAAGGTTTTTCTCCTTCTTCATACCAAAGAATTCGGTTTCGGATTTGTATTCCTTTCATTTCCTCACTTTTAATTTCTTCCATTTCTTTCTTATATTTTGATAGTTCATTCAAAAGTTCTTCATTAATGTTTTGGAAGTTTTTTCGAATAGTATCTTCGACCTGTTTTATTTTTAATTCTAGTTCTTCTGTTTGTTTTACCTTTGTTTTCTTTATGTAGGATGAAAAAGATATGGTCTTTCCTCGTATTTTCATTAATATTGTTTCTAGAAATAAGGAGTTGGAAATTGTAAGTTTAATATTTTCAGTGTTTTTAAGTTATCCATTTTCTCTCTTGAGTATTCCTGAACAGTGTCATTTAAAATAGTTCTGACTAAGTTTCCATATTCAGGATTTAACAACAAGGAATCATTAAACTTCCAGTACCCATGTCCTCGTTCCTGGCTTAAAGCGTTTGAAAAAGTTAACGTTATTGTCGAGTGGTCACTTTTATAGCCTGGCAAAATATCTGAATCCAAAGATATATCAAATATATCTTCTGATACAATAAAGAAATCATGTCTGGCTTGTTGTCTTGGATTTTTTTTTCCACCAAGTGTATTTTCTACATTTATCATTCAAATTCCTCCAGACATCAATTAGATTATAAGATTCGATAAATTCTAATACAGTATTTCTTGATTTTGGGTTGTTTACATGCTTATAATTCTGAAGATCAATTGTGGGATCAATCACCAAATTCCAGTCTCCAACAATTACCATAGAATCATTCTCAACATTCAGAATATTTTCAAACAGATTAATGTTAAATTGATGGTCATCATTATTAGGACCATAGAGATTAGTCAGTGTCAGTCTTTTATCCTCTACGGTTATATCAGCGATTATGTAATTGCCATTTTCATCTATTAAGGTCCTGCGTATTTTGAGATCAATATCGTTGTTAAAAAGAATGGCCACTCCTCTGGAATTAGATTTAAATGTCTAATATAATTGTTTACTTCTGAGTATAGCCATGGGCCCAACAGAATGGAAATTAACTCTTATAATGCCTCTATTCAAGAAAGGTGTTTGAGAGAGTTGTATTTAAGCATATATCTAACTGTTGCAACGAGAACAAACTATTGTACAAATATCAAACTGGCTTTCAAGCTGGGGATTCAACTGTCCATCAATTAATTGAAATATGCATCCAAGTGCAAGAAAATCAATTTCACTATTAACAGATACTACCACATCAATAATACAGATTCTGGCAACATAAATCTATTTCGCTAAGAGCTTAAGAAAAAGGATTGTTATCGCAAAGAATTTGTAAATGACTTCTTCTACTCATGTAAACTTTAAATGTACTACAGGCCTGTGGTCCTTTTAAGTACTGAACAAAGATTGATTGAAAAGTAGACTCCTGGGCCTAGATGTTCGAGGCTCTCTGAGCGCTAGGATAGTCGCAAGTGCCTTACATTAACTTACGACTATCTTAGCGCCAACAGAGCTTCGAAAATCAAGGCCTTGATCAGACTGAACAACATCTCGCAAACCAACTAAGGTGAAAAACTTGATCAAAGACTTGACAATCACAGGAGCGGCAATCCTATGAAGAGGAATTGTTTCAGGAAATCTCGTACCAGCACACATGATAGTGAGAAGATACTGATTACCGGACTTAGTCTAAGGTAGAGGACCAACACAATCAATGATAACTACGGAAAGGTTCCTCAAAAGCCAGTATAGGTTTTAAAGAAGCGGTAGGTATTTTCTGATTTGGTTTTCCAACAATAGACCATTTTCCGGTGGTAACGTGACTAATGACGCGATCACGTGACCAGGTCAAGCTTTCGTACAAAATGGCGTCTGTCAAGCATCGTTGTAGATACTGATCACGTTTGTTGTAACATTTATTCGCAGTTTATCGAATTTAGTGAATGAAATACTTGTTCTAAATAGTTCTTGTATATAATTTGTCCCTTTAGTGTATATAATATTTCTCTGAGGCTGCATAATTCGGCTGAGCAATTAAAATGTAGATCTGGTAGTCGGCACGTCTCCGATGACAGGTCCATGTCATAATACGCAGTTTATATAAGTTATGATTAATTACCATGGAGAAATTGAAAGTCCCAGAACTTAAAGATTATTTGAAAAAGTACGGAATAACAACTACAGGTCACAGAAAAGACGTTCTCATAGCTTTAGCCAATGCAGTTGTCAAACTTGAATTGGAGCCTGATCCCGATTTTCAACATGACTGTCGACCAGAAACGTTTATGAAGCAGTGTCTCACGGACTTACACTGTGATTTTGATGATCCATTTGCTCTTACTTACACATCTGACTTCAGCCTCATCCCAGACTTCGGCTTGTATGATATCTTCAACTACCTGTTATTTCATAGATCTGATTATGATAGGAGGAAATTGAAGGCTTTCAAGTCTTTTGAGGACTATCGTTTGTTTTATGATGGTCATGTGTTAGACCTCCAATATTGTGACATTAGTGATGCCAGTAACCTTTGTGCATTCAAGTCAAAGGTGAAACCAACACAGAAGGATTCTTCCTATCTTGGAAAGCCAACATATGATATGTGGTTCCTCATGGAAAAATCAACAGCAGTGATCAAACTGGCATTTTGTGAATGTCCTGGCGGGTAAGTTTTAATACATGTTCAGTACAATTATCCACCACTGAATATATTTCAATACATGTATTTGAAATATTTATTTAATGCAACCTTTATTCAAAAGAAAATTGTAATTGATTTTATATCACGTTTATAAAATGTTATAATTAATATATTGGCATTTAAACACTTCAGTGTTAATATAATATATCATTCAATTTCTTTATCATTTTGTGTTCATATTTCAGTGCTGATGGGGCTTGTCGACACATAGCAGCAAGCCTGTATGCGCTTGAGGATTTTGAAAAGCCATCCGTGACATCTGGTCCCTGTCTGTGGAAGAGGAGAGCCTTGAGCCAGACTGAAGCTGTGCCTATAAAGAAGCTTAGGATTGAAACTGTTGGGTGTGTGGTAATTAATAATAACTAATCTGTTAACTCCACATATTCTCAATGGTACTTAATGTTTATTCTAAACTTACATTATATAATGATAAAAAAATGTGCATTTGTAATGCACCCTTTCCATGTACAAGAATCATGCTCAAAGCGCTGACATGGTACAATTATATACTGAAATGTATAAGTGAAGGAAATATAGTTAGTTTTAATGAGAAGAAAACAGGTGGGTCATCTGCCAACGTTTAAATGGGGTAAAGTCAACTGCTGATTTTATGGCCAAAGGGTGGGAGTTCCACAGTAGAGGGAAGAACAAGCAAAGGATTTCCTTCCAAATGTTTCAATTTTATAACGAGATGCAAGTTCTGATTTGAGAGCTAGCTGTCTTTAATTAATTTCAGTCAAATAAAATCAAAAGAATTTTTTTTCAGTTATGGTAAGGAGAAACAGGAAGTGGGAGAGGTGGAGTTCGACCCCAGACACCCTGAAGACAGACAGAGTTTGTCACAGGAGGCAGCAAAACAGTTTATTGATGAATTGACAGAGGTGAATATTATTAAATGAAATCTAGTAAACTGAAAGCAATGATGGTTGAATTAAACTTAAGAAGTGCCTACTTTTTCACTTGTAACACCAAGCAAATTTATATCATAAAATTTTCCCCAAATTTGTACGTTGCCCCTGTCGCAGTTGCTCTTCAGCTGCTCTCAGACAAGACTAACCTCCCTGAGATTGGACAAGGGGAGCATGGGGTGGACAGAAGAATCAGACAGCTGTCCATAGTCAGCAGGGCACAAGAACTGACAATGAGTAATTCTGATCCAGCTGATGTCATGAGGAAACTTATCTACACAGCAGATGACATAGATTACATAGAGGCGAAAACCTGTGGACAAAGCTCAAATGAAAACTGGCATCACATTAGAAAGGGTATCATAACAGCTTCACTCTTCAAGCGGATTAACACTCGTGCCAGTACTCTGAGATCAGATTCTGCTGCTGATCCCAGTAAAGCTGTAGACTGTGTACTAGGCAGAAATGCTGCTGACCTTGATACTCAGCCTGCTATAGTGTGGGGTAGGAAGAAGGAGACTGCGGCAAGGAAGGCTTACATTGCCATAGAGAAGAAACAACACAGGAATCTCAGTGTGACTGTACCTGGGTTGCGACTTTCTCAAGCTATGCCTCACATTGCTGGATCTGCAGATGGTATTGTCTCATGTAAATGCCATGGACGTAAGCTTATGGAAATAAAGTGTCCCTACAGTTTGAGAGATAAGTCCCCCAAGGAGGCTGCTTGTGCAACTGTGGGGTGTGAAAATAAAGATGGTGTCTGGACAGTTACTGAGCGTTGTGACTACTATCCCCAGATCCAAGGTCTGATGGGGATATATGGTCTAAGAGTGTGTGATCTTGTACTTTATACAAGATCTGGAATTTTGATGATACCTGTTCAGTTCAATGAGGACTTTTTCCATAGGATGCTTCAAAACTTGAATTATTTCTATGTGAATTATGTTATTCCAGAATTATTGAAGCATGTGTGAGTTCATTGATCACTTTTCTGCTTAGTTCAAGCACACTTGCATCTTACTCATCAATGCATCATGACATTCTATGTTAGTGTTGTTGATAATAAATTATTAGACATGTTGGTTAGAGACATGTTAAGGAGAAGCAGTTATTTCAAATGAAATACAATTACAAAATCTATTAAGGCTTTGTTATCTTTTTATTTTTAAAACTTTACTCAAACTTCATTGAGGTCAGTTCAAACTAAGAACACTAGGTCATGTTCAACAATACATTGAAGTTGTGGCTGAGAGGGTTAGGCAGCTGACCGTGTGTGCTGGCGATTAGGTGCCTGAGTCTTTGACGGTGTGGGTTCAAATCCCAGATGGGACTCAACCCGAACAAAAGCACTAGAACCTGTACTTTACTAAGAGAGTGTAATCCAAATATATGTTAAATACATGGGAGACAACTCTGTCAAAAAAGCTCAAAACATTTCAATATGTTCATGACAACAGAATCATGAAAGTCATTGGTCATGAATATGGCAATATTCTAATAACAACAGTTACTTTACAAGTGGTTTGTCAAAATTGCATAACTGAGCACAAACTTGTACACTTTGATTAATAAGCTTCTTGGATTTCAGTGGAAAAATACCTTGTAAAAATTTAAAGTTCTTGAGGCGACCAATTGCCCGTTCAACATGTATTCGAGCATGGGCTATTCGCCTGGTTTTCTTAACAGCTGCTTTGCTTAACTGCTTACCATGCGCAAAAGGTGGTATGTTTAATGTACATCCTCTTAATGCTAAGAGATCCCTAATCAAAAAACCCCTGTCAGCCATTATGTCATCACCATAGTTTAAGTTATCAAGGAAACCCGATTCTTTAACAATGCGCCTATCTGACACTGAACTAGACCACAGTGGAGAGATGTAAGTAAATGCACCTGTTGGGGAAATAGCAACCAGACATTTAAAGGTATTGTGATGTTTGTACTGTGACCAGGTCACTCTCTGACTAGATGGCAATGAGGGTTTCTGTACAAAAAATTCTGTACAATCTATAATGGCAATAGTCTTTTTAAAATATCTAAATGCCTTTGGGAGGTGAGCTTGAACCTGCAGTCTGATTGGCCACTTAACAACAAAACTGAGCTCCCTTGATATAAACTCAATGTATGTCCGGAAGTAACGGCTAACTGTCGATGATGATATGCCAAACAGATCACTCAAATGGTCGACATCAAGGCCACGTCTCAGGCGCACAAGTGTTAGGAGGAAAGCTGTGAAGGTCGACAGTCCCCTGGGGTGATGGTCATCTTTGTTTTTGGCATTCTCCTGAAAAGTAAACATGTTCAAGTGGATCTGCTCATTAATCACTATATTTCACAATGACTGGTACTAGGAAGTCAATGATAATTTGCAAGTGACCATTTAGTAAACAGTTGCACTTTACAGCACTGCCTGTGAAAGGGTTAACAAATGACATATTGATCAGTGACCAAGTTACATACAGTGTATATGTGTCAAGAGATGGTATATAGGTGGTTATTAATTAAAGCAATATTAAAGAAATAAAATATACATACTGTTGTTTCTTCCCCTTTCCACAGTGTTAACCTCTCAGCTTTGGACTGTAGGAATCTGTGCAGGAACAACAGAAGCTGGATGGATGTAATACCTGAAATAATTATTAATATTGGTCAAATAACTATTTTAAAACACACATTAAGGTCTATATCATGCAAAATATATTATCAATAAATAAAACATAAAATGAATGTCTATATTATAGATTTGAAACAGATATATTTTACCTGTGTAGAATTTGCATGATTTGTCACTTCTGAGAACATCATCCATGAATAGTTTTCTCTGTAGAAGTTTAGGTTGTTTGAGGTGATCATCACTGTAGCCAGCCAGATCATCATGCAAGATGTCAGTCTGAGTAGCTGCATCAGAATAGGAAACCTGTTTTCTTGCATCTGCAAAATAAAATATTTTTGTAAAAAACAAAACTGTGCGGATGATAAATGGTCCAAAAATATACACTAAACGACATCTTATAATTTTATAATTGCAAACTTTTTCAGACAATAAAGAGTGCTAAAAACCCAACCGGATTTCATCAACTAAACATTCCATTTAAAAGTTTGTCTGTAATAAAATCAATGGATATACCTTCATTATCAACATTTGTATCTTGCTTTTCAGAACCCTCAGTTATTTCATTTTCCTTATCAATGTCCACATTGAGTACCTGCAAAAAAACACATTAATTAATATTTTATGAACATTATTAATTATTATAAAGAGAGTTTTGTTAAAATTATTCAAACTTTAGTCATTTATTTGTTCATTTATCTCTTTGCTTATGTATTTTTTTTTCATTTTATTTCATTTCATTCCCAAACTATACCTGGAGTTGTGAACGACTTTTTTTCTTCTCTGGCGACAAGCTCACACGGCCTTTAGGTGGTGGTCTTGACTTCTTCGTGTTGAAGATTCTAAGTTCCACACCTCTAGCGGTAGCTGGTATAGGGTCAGGATGTTCGCCTGTAGGACCATGTCCATCAACAAAGTGTTTGGAACATACATATGTATCTTGGGTGATCTTGTGACGGCCAAAATCATCACCGCGGGAACACGCTCTGATCCAGCGGTCACACATCTCGGGCTTTGATGTGGGCTTTGGAAATGTAATAAAAAACACATCTGCCATATGTGGTTTATGGTAGAAACGTGAGTCACTATTACAAGTGCCATAAGCGCATCGTTTTACCCCCATATTGATGATATTGCACTTTGAACTTGGCGAGGCTCACTCAAGGGCACGGTTGACAGCCGCCATTTTGTCCCAAAGCTTGACCTGTACCACGTGATCGGCAGCTAGATCACATGACTTGCGGAAATTCCACTATTTGGTCATCTCACCAGAAATCAGATCTTAAGTCAAATTCACAAAATGGAGAGGGGCAGAAGAATTGCCATCTATACCCTGAAGCAAAACATCTGAGTTCGCTGAAGACTCATCAGGAAAAGGAAAAATATACTTCAAAATCAGATATTGGAGAGTTCCAGTATCCCTCAAACTAATAACGGTACTTGCGGTAAAATTATCTCCCATAAGTGACACAAAACCTATAGAAACAAAGGGAAAATAGTCCTTCCGAACTACAGAGAAAACAAAGAAAATTCTCTTCAGAACCACCTGGAAAGAAAGGCTTAGGTGCGATAGACAAAAGTATTTAGGGAACCTGCAGCATCATGTTTAAACTGGAGTTTGTAACATGCAGAAATCAAATGACCAGGCTTCTTACAATATGCATAAACAAGATCAGAACCACTGGAAGTCTTGGACTTAGACTGAAAAGGATGTGAAGAATTTGAACCTGTTTTAACACCATTGAAAACTGCAGTCTTACCCAGGGAAAAGCCCTTTTGACCAGAAAACTTGGTATTACCAGCAGACCGAAAAGAACTCTTGTGAGTTAAACAATAGTCATCTGCCAACATCGCTGTTTCATGTAAAACGTCAGCTTTATGTTCATCCAAGTAAGTCGGGGATCAGAATGAACACTCTGCTTGAAATCCTCCATCAAAACTAACTGCCTCAAACCATCAAAATCTGTGACCTCCTTAGAACCACACAACCTATCGAGCAAAGATTCCTTCTCCCCAGCAAACTGTACAAAAGTTTCATTGTCCCTTATATGAGCATTTCTGAATTTCTGAAAACTCGTTAGCTTTTAAAAGGGTACGTTTAACAAGATCGTAATCTGAGCTTTGATCTATCGATAAAGCCGAATATGCATCCTGAGCTTTACCCTTCAAAGCAGTTTAGCATGGCATAGTCCTTAAGGTTTTCAGCAACTTTTACAAAATGTTGAAAATATTTATCTGCTTCTATTTCATTGACATGGGTATCAGTCTGACGTGCCTGCAATATCGAAAGGTGAAGGGTTTGAGGGGGGAGAAGGATATTCGAGCATTTTCAGCGCAATTTCTCTGTCAATTTTCAATTTTCATTCGTCAACTTTAGATTTTATTAATTCTATTCCTTTTTTCTCCATTTCTAACTTTTTCAATCCCCTTTCTGTTTCCAGCTTTGTTAGTTCTTCTTGTTTTCTATTTTCTTCTTTCTGAATTTGTAATTGAAGGGGTTTTTTTTCATTTCCAATTGGTCTGAATAATCTTCTTTAATCATTTCCAAAGCTTTGCAATAAATTTGATTTGCGCATCACCGACTGTCTCAGGGGTAGGTGACTTAAGAAACTCCTCCAGTTCGAACATCATTTTGTTGGTATTGCGAGGACCTTGTTTGCAAAAATGCAGAAATTTTAAATATATTTTTCACAAAAAGTCTTAAATGTCAAATGAATTCTTTAAACCAGCAAAATAAAACACCGACGAGTCTATAATGTTCAGTTGTATATTGAATGATAAGGGTTACAATGTATGATATTTCTA